TCTCCACATCCTGTACAGAGGAATTAGTGTCTCTTCACAGTGTCTCATTACCCTCAGCTATCTGCAACGCCAGGGCCTTCGGATTTTCTGAAGTTTATGGTTCCAAGAACTCCTGGGCTTCTGGGAATCTGTGTAGAGAAGGCGGGGTGAGAGTGGCTGTGACTGCTCAGGAGAAAGTAACTACTTGTCCCCCCACTGCTGAAGCCTATTTTAAGAGAGATGGGGTATCACTGTAGAAAACAAGGAAGCACCAGAATATATGTGTGCTCAGGAAGAAACAAATATATACACATTTAGATTTCTGGGTCTCACCATCTATCTAAGTAGTTCCTTCCTTGCCTTGGGGGATGGGAAGTCTAGGTCAAACCTTTCTTTTGTGAGATGGTACTCAGAAAAGTTTCAGCATCCTCAGAGAACACTTCTCTCTCTCCTTCCTCTCTAGTGATCACCAACTCAACTTTGTCTACTAGGACCATTTCTCTGGGCAATCTACAAGAACCTGAATCAGCCAAGTAGACTCAGTGTTAGCATTCTGTCCAAGCTCTACCCTACATGAGTGTTTCCCATGAGTTACTCTCTGTCCAGTACCTTTTGAAAATCTCCTAGCCTATAGGGGTTGCATGACAGAAAACAGTAACTTGTTCAGCACAAAATCTCACCCAAGTACCTTGAGCTAAGGTCCAAGAATGCCAGCCACTTCCACTTCCCAGAGTAGTTGCTGTTTTTTAATGAAAGAGAACAAGTTTGATTTTTCCTTCTATGCTTCCCATGGTCATCAAAGTTCCAGAGTAATGCCATCAAACTTGGAGGAAACCATTCCTCATGTAACAGGTAGATAGTGCTGCCCTTACTCTGTATAAGACTGGAGCTAAGTGGTTGTGCAAAAGACCTAAGAATCTAGCTTATCAGCAGTCAGCTCTGGAATTGGCAAAAGGGTGAGTTAGAACCTGAAGATTCTGGCTTCTGGCTGAGCACACTCGGCCTCCCTACACCGATAAGGAGCTATCGTGTGCGTGGTCTGTGTGCAGAGGCCAGCCTTCATGTTGAACAGTACATCTCAATGGATGTAAGAAAAATGATGTTGAAATTTGTCTGTTCATTGACTAAGTGCCTACCGTGTTCTAGTCTTTAATTCTAAGTACTTTGATGTTGGGATTTAGTAAACAAGAAAAGATCACTGCTCATACAGTACATCCTTTCTTAAGATCTAAAAAAGTTTAATAATAAAAAAATTGAAGAAAATGAATAGAATATCTTTACCTTTGTTTTAACCCAGTATTTCCTGTAAATTATTAATCTAGAGATTATGCCCTGTATAAATCCAGTATTGAATACTTTAGACAGTTCTGACTTAAAACATGGGGAATTCCTGTGAACTCAGGGCCCACCTGAGTGTCTGCATGCTACACCATGACAACTGAAGAGATGCTTCATGCTGAGGAAGCCTACCTTCTGGGACACACTCTCACCTTTAAAGTCAAAAGAGGTCATTTTTATTTGATCACTCCAAGTAATGAGACAAATTGCTTTGCACTAACCAGAGTCTCTTAAAATGCGTCTATAAACTGGGATCTCAAGTGACAGCATGCTGAATTATGAGGACATAGGGTCTGGAGGCAAATAGATCCTGTCTCTGTGACAGCTCTGACTTATTGCTCATGTTACCTTATATGAGCTACAGCTCTTGTGGGAGATGGTGAGATGGCTCAGCAGGTAAAGGTACTTGCCATCAAGTCTGGTTACCTGAGTTCAATCCTAGGACTCATATGGCAGAAGGAGAGAACCTCTGACCTCCATGTGTGTGATATATCACACTCATACCCACATACATTTACAATAAATATAAATGAGTTGAATTTTAAATACTGAATCTCCTAAATTAATCCACACAAAATATTTAGTATAGGAAGTTTTTGTTTGAGCAGAGAATCACAATTTGAAGTTACTTTGTCTCTTGGTGGCCATGCCTGGGCTGTGATAGTATCAATATTTGGCTGTAGAGTGAGCATTACAAAAGACTGAGTGGCTGAGCCTGAAAGTGAGGTAGATAATTTTTAGGTTGGGTTTTGTTTTTTGAGCAAGAGACCTGTAGTTCAGCTGGCCTTGAACTCTGAATCCCCTGTTTCCATCTCCCCACCATAACCCAAAGCTAGGATTATTGGTATAGTATAGTATGAGTTGCCACACATAGGTGGTCAAGATAGTTTTACACATCAGAAACTTTCCAAGAAGGTTTTTGCAAGAGACAATGTACACATCCTGTGGGTGCACAGGTGAGACGGCAAGGTTAGGAGTGGTGAGCTCCAGGTCACTAACCTGGCATCAGGCTGTGCAGAGGGAGGCTGGGCTGATAGGCTGATGAGGTAGCAGAGGGTGGCATGTGCGGAGGAAGGCTGTGAGCAGGATTGTCCAGCAAGGATGAGAGAGGAAGGAATATAATATTTGCTCAAAGCATGGGAGCTGGCGATAGAAAATTGTGTCCCTGGGATACTTGTACGGTGTTACCTTGTGAATATATAAAATCCCCGAGTAATCCTGCCTTTAGAAAACTTGTGGAAAAGCCCAAATATGTTTCAAGATTTGCAGCCTTGGTTTGTGCTTTCTTTGGGTGTGATGTCACAAGGCCATTAGATTTATTGTGGTTACTCTGATTATATCTTCTTTTTAAAACTGTTTTATTCTCATTTCCAACATTGCCGCTTATCACTAGATTCATCACTGTGACAGTGATTTGTATCTCAAGATATATTGTTGTTTCAAATACATCATCTTAATTATTTATATATTTTGTTTCATCCCTCTGGTCTATTATATATTACACAAGTTGTTACTACAGAAGATTTACTGTTATTTCATTTCCTCTGTAGAGTACTTTATTTTGAAACCATGTTTTCAAGTTGGATGCTTCTGAGAAAAGGTCCTGTATGTGGCTAATTCCACTGTACATAAAGTATCAGTACCAAAAATTGTCCCTGGCAGCTGGCTTTAGTGTGACTCAATTTCCAGTAAAAATAGATATTTTATAAACTATTCAAAGAATTGAACTTTGGGGCCACAGTGGCTAGATTCTGGAATACATGTTAGACTTTTAAAAATATGAGGTTAGGGGAACAAAGTGGTAGTCCCCAATTTCTGCTACAGTAGGTTTTTGGTGGTTTAGTCCAGGATACAGGTAAGTATAAAGTGAATCCCTCACTCACCTATCTGACTTTTAGGATTAAACAGATGTGACCATGTGGTTATGATAGAATTTATAGGGAAAACAAAACAGAAATTTTTACCAGGAATAAGTTTAGAACCATCTACCTTTGTACCAGTGAAAGGCAAAGACAGTGAAACCTTAAAGATTTTTCTTCATTTTTTTTTGAGATAAGGTCTCATTACTCACTGTTAAGCCTTGGCTGGCTTGAAACTCACTGTCTCATCTAGACTGGCTTTGAACTCATGATCCTTCTATCTCATCTTCTCCAGTCCTGGAATTATAAATGCTCTTCACCACACTGAGTGATTCTGTGGTAGAGCCATTTGTGGTGATACACCCAAAGATCTCTGCAAGAGAGAAAGAGTTGAAATCTGAAAACTATGGAATTCCTTCTATAACTGATGGCTGCCCAGAATTCCAACTTGGCCATAGGTGGAAGTCTAGTAGTGTGGTGTCATCAGGAAGACTGATGGGCCTTATCTTAACAAGGACCACTTAGACATTTTATAACAGGAGGCAGATATGGGTCTGGTAGCATAGCATATGATATCTACTACAGCAGTATTAGAATATAAAGATGTCCAGGAGGGTCTGCTATGAGAAAAGACATGTAAAAGATGGAGAGCGTGGGTAGTTTGGATCTCATAGCAGTGTTTCCAGAAGAGGTTCCAAGGATGCTAATCATACCGAATGATCAACTAGATGTTGGATAAAGTATGGGCAATGCTGGCATAAGATAATGAAAATGGGCTCTTTACCAAAAGCCCTTCAGAGCCTGTAGTAATGTACCAGTGTGCCTGAAGTATCTCCAGGAAGAGATTGTGTAACATGAATGTTTTAACCTTTCCCAAATGTGTTTAACCACAAAGCTGGATGTTCTCCCATGGATAGAGATATAGTACTTGGTAAGCATACGCAAGGTCCTGGGTTTGAGTTCCAGTACTACAGAAAAACTTGTAATTACAGCACTGGAAAGAAGTAGAAGTTCAAGATCATTCTCAAGAAAATAGTGAATGGCTCAGTTTTTTTAAAAAAATGGGTAGTGAATGAATGAATGAGTTTTGGAAGATAGCTAAGCTAAGAATTAGAATAAGAAGGTATCAAAGTAAAGTGAAGTGTTTGTTAGCTCTATTAAAGGAACTATTTGAACCTATACATCCCTGCCTTCGGTACTTCTTACTCTTGTACCCATCACTTCCTGCCCTGCATCCCTCTGTCACCTTCTTGCTACCAGTTGTAACATGAAATAAGATTATGTACATGAATGTGTCCCCTTATAACCCATTCCTTTCTTAGCTTTATAGGTGATTCTGTTTTTGCAAACTCTCAAATTATCCTCAGTGAAATAGAAGTCTTTGCAGGTGTGGGGATGGTAGAATACACTATGATGCTTTGAAATTGTGCACAAATGTGCACATACATGTGCTGTCTTCTTCTGTCTTCAAATTCACCCGCTGTGCACACACTCAACCTTATTTATCTTAACTCTGATGGCTCATCAAAGAAGATAAAGAAGTAGATGATCTATAAAATTTTATAGTGAGCTTGTTGGGTAGTGATGTGTCAAATTAATGTTGCTTCTGATGGAAAATAAGTCCCCACTTCCACCTCCCAGGGGTGTGTGAGGACAGATGTGAGAAAAGTCTCCATCACAAGTTTGACAGTGTAGAGCTACTTGCTAAGCTGAGAAATCTGTAAAGTTTTGACTGGTTCTCCAGTAAATATCTACTGTCAGGGATCCCAGCCTTGGTATAACCATACATTTTTGTTTTTTGTTTTCTGTTTTTGTTTTTCCCAGAACGCCAACCAGGTACCTCTATGGCCAATTCCAATCCTGTTCCTTCAAGTTCAGCTGGAATCAGCAAGGAACTGATTGATCTCCAGCCTCTCATTCAGTTCCCAGAGGAAGTAGCCAGCATCTTAACAGAACAGGAACAGAACATTTACCGCAGGGTCCTGCCCGTGGACTACCTCTGTTTCTTAACCCGGGACTTGAGTTCCCCTGAATGCCAGAGATCACTGCCCTGTCTCAAAGCATCCATCTCAGAATCAATCTTCACGTCTCAAAGTGGAGAGCACAATGCCCTTGAAGACCTCGTGATGAGATTTAACGAGGTAAGGAACAATTTGGATGTTTTTGTATTTGAGCCAACAGGTATTATTCTTAAGTGTATTTCTTGTCTGGGTTTGTATGTCTTTGATATCTCTTCTATCTATCTGTCTTTGCTTCTTCTGTGATGACCAACTTCCTTACCAGGCCCTGAGATGCCACCACACTGGCTTCTTCCTCCTCCTCACTCCACCCTAGTTGCCGGCAAGTCTGACAGAGTCAACAAATGTGTCAGTTCCTAGACTTCCCCATCCATCCATTTGTGACAGTGTTTTTAAGACCTGTGTCTTTGTTGTGAGCTTTGACAGCATAACGCCTAGCCATATCTATCTACATATCTCCCTTCTGTCCATCAGCACTGCTCAGAAATGTAAAAGGCCAACATGCCTGGAGCTTCTCATCTAAGGAAGCATGGAGGTAGTTCCTAGGGAGGTATGAATCATTCCACTCCTCTTTCTGCATCCTACCAACATCTTCAAGCCCAGAAAGTCACCTTAACACTCTGAGAAATGCCAGAAGCCAGGTCTAAAGAGCACAGTGAGCATAGAGTTTGGAATTACTGAAGGTGGAGCTTCTATTTGGAATCCAGGGACAGAGTTGGGGATGTGAACCTAATGGCTACCATCTCTATGGCTTAGGTCAAGGAGGAAGTGACAAGAAGGAGATGCAGGTTCTGGTCTTAAAAGACCCTTCTCACTCTATAATGTGCCCCACACCTATCATTTTCTTTTTCTTGTTCTACTCATTGTAGTTTTAATTTCTTTTGCTTTGATTCTCAAGTTACTAATTTTTAATATAGATATTATTATAGACTCTTGGTTGGTTGAATTTTACAAGTTGCATGATTTCTTTTTTGCCTCACTAATAAGCTCCATCTAATGCTAAGAAGATTCTCATTGTGGGTCATGTATATCTATGGTTGACAGAGGGTCAATCAGCCTTGGTTACATGTATCTTTCCTTACTCTTGGCCTCAGTCTGCAGCCTCCGTAGCTTTCCAGCAAAGACCCTGGCAATGGTGGTGAATATCATCCACCGGTATGTACCCCAAGGGATGAAGTCTTAGAGGCTGATCACAACTGGCTTCATGTGTAGATGTGTCCCCAAACACCATTCCTCAGGAAGAAGCCTGTGTCCACAGGCCTGGCAGGCTAATGATCACCGTTTTACAATCACACATGTCTTCACGGTAAGGAACCTTGAGGAACAGCTTTCTCATCCTCAATAGGTAAACCAAGGTGCAAGGACAGTCACTGGCTCAGGTCACACAGGAGATGGGTGGCTGTTGTGAGATCTCACAATAGAGCCAAACCCATATATTCTGGCCTTTTACCTCTACAGTGTCCTGCATGTCACCTACATTGAGGGTGATACTTGCTATAACTGCAGATTTCCATCCTACCCCAAACTAAGATATAACTACAGGGAATCCAGTGGAGAGCTTGCAAACCACACTGACCCAGAGTTGAGTTTTGGTTTTGTGTTTTTTAATAAATCTCCTGGAGGTCTTGATTTTTCTTACTGATAAAAACAAATGGGAAAATGAAAGTTCCCATAAACGGAGTGACTTTACCATTTTGTGACTTATTTGAAATTTCCAGCTCTCTTCATACTCACCTCTTTAAGACCCTATTCTTGTCTTTTAAAAAAAAAAATTAGACCTTAACATACAAGTGAATTGCCAGAAGTTTTAAAAATCTAATTTTAAACCAAACTTGGACTTTTTCCATCACCGCCACAGCCTTGGGAGTCGATGATGAACCAGCGATTCCCTGACGCAGAGCAGAGCTAGAGACAGGGCACCCACAGCCGGGGTGAGGTATGCTTTGGGCTATCTCTGAAAATAGTTTAGCTGCAACTTCAGAATGTAAACAAGATTTCTGGGAAAACACTTAAACTACTTATGAGAAGAGAGTGTTTTCAAGTATTCTCAAGCATCTATTTTCATACAAATCATGGGCAAAGTGATTAAAACTTCAGTCTGTACAGTCATCAAAGGCAAATTCCAAGGAATTTCCACCAACCAGCTCATAAATAGCAAATTCTGATCACGTTATACTAAAAGGTGGAAAGGCTGGGTAACATTCAAAGAGAACGATACAAGAATGACTTTGACTTACAGTGGATTGCCTCCAGGTTAGTGTGGCTTTCTACAAAGAAATGAAAGGATGCTGAGAGGGATGGGGAGGCGACAGATGGATTCTGGAGGCCACTGGCCTGTCAGCTTTGCTGAACTGATGAGTTCTAGATTCAATGAGATAGCCCAACTCAAAAAATAAGGTAGAGGGAAATTGAAGAAAACACTGGACACTGACCTCTCCTTCCCCCCCACCCATGAACACACATATATACATACATATATCTGCATACACATATGGGTTTACACATGGCCACATACATACAGCACACAAAAAGGGAAGGAAAGTCCACCTATTTGCTAAAGTACGTGATGTAATCTTCTCCGAGACTTACTGCCTCCATCTGCTAACCTAGGCCTAGTCCTGGAAGCTTCTAGCCCCTGTACAGTCCAATCTAGGCCTAGAATGTTTTCAGCTTCTGAGACTTCCTACTCAGTAAGATCACCCTTTATAGTTCTTTCTGAACTCTGATGGCTAGTTCAACTCAACTGCCAGGCTCAAAAGTCTCTCCCAGCTGACTGATTCAAACTGGCTTCTCTCAGCATCTGACTGATTTGCTCTGCTTGGCCCTGTACTAACTTTAGCAATATGTTCTAGTTCTCTGGCTCTTTCACATTCTGTGTCTCATTGTGTCTTCTCTGTTTCTAGCTTGTTCTCTCTTCAACCTGTCTCTGTACAAGTGTCCCAGTAAAACTGTCTCCTCCTCCCTCCCTCTGAACTGCTCCCTCGTATATTGCCTCTCTTTCCTCTCTGTCCTCATACAAGTTAGACATATCCTATTCTGTCAAATCTTTCTCTGATTTGTCACTTTGTCTGCCTCTCAAACATTATTTTAAATGGGTGCTTCCTTCTACAAACCAATTTACCTTTGCTGTTTGGGATTAAAGGTGTGTACTAAGGATGTGTCTGTATTCCAGTCAGAGTAGTCATGTTGCTAGATTAAAGTACCTCTATACCTATTTAAGTAGGTGCTTCAAACTAGATATTTTCACATTTTTTTAAACTCTACTCCTTTTACAGCTGTCATGATCCCTGCCTAGCAGAGAAAGAAAGTGAAACTTAGACAGCAAAATGAATAATGATGGTATTCTTGTTTATAGAATTGGTGTAAGAGTTAGAGGATTGAGGCAGTTGGGGATCCCCATGAGAACACAGCAACCATCAACATTGCGTGTAGAACCACTGATGCATTCCAAAGTTATTAGGCAAAAGGAAATGTGATGAAAGATGGGGAGATTTGCATAGTCTGCAAGCAACTTTCTACAAGACCCTGGCTAATCACAGAATAGAACAGTGGAGAAACCCAGCCACAGATACCGTCTCAAGGTTCCCTGACCAGTAATGATGCAGGTCCTCTCGTACCTTACGCAACCTGCTTTGAAGAGGTGCAGTGTCACCTCTGTGTATTCTTGTTCCAGAGGCGAACCAGAATCTAGTAATGGGAAAATGTCAGACACGCTGGGGTTGAGGGACAGGCAATGCTTTAGAACATGTCAAGGTCGTGAAAGGTAAACAATCTGAAGGTCTGAGCATCGGAGAAGAGACTTGACTAGTATACAGAGAGTCAAATTCTAGTGAGTAATGGACTGGGGTGGAGGAGGAAAGTGATGGGAAAAGAGTAAAACCCTAATAAGGTATTCAGTCATATAAGTTACTGTGTTGATGTTTATGTCCTGGTTTTCATGCTTGCACTGTGATTATGAACAATATTAGCATCCTGGAAAAGAGGGAGAAGAATATGTGGAAATTATGTACTATTTCTACAGCATTTGTGTACATTTAATAGTATTTCAAAATAAGTTTTAAAATATCACAATGAGTCCAGAAAGCCTGAGTCACTTGCCCAAGGTCACACAGTAGCTAAATGGATATCAGACACAGGGTTTGTCTTCTGTCTGTCTTTTCTTATTGCCTTTCTACTTGTTAAATTATGAAGCCAACCTTCTGGTAAATCTGGAAGTGCTGATTCAGAATTTAATTAGCCTTGAGCTTTTCCCATGCTTTTCCCTAAATCTCTTGTGCACTTATCCTTTTTTATTATCTCTACTTGTATTTTTTATCTAATTTTCAAATTGCTCCTGCCACCAGTCCCCTCTTCATTCATTCATCTATGCAAGACATTCCTACTGCATGCCTGCTGTGCTTTTGCCTCCTCTCCTTTCCTCCCAATGATAGAGGTCAGGCATATACAGGCCAATTTTAAAATAAGAAATTAGCAATATTTCACCATGGAACTTAACACCATTAACCAAAATAGCATTATGTCAAAATTTAAAACACTTACATTCGAGAGAAAAAAAAAAAACAAATTCCTTAGTACATCACAGGACCTTAAAGAGACAAAAGGGAACATCAGCCATCACACAGTATTAGTCCCCAGGGAGAGGCAGATGCGTTTATTGGTACAGTCAGTCATCCCGGCTCATTTATTCAGCACGTCTCAGGAGCAAGCTAGTTGATGGATATGCTCTAAGGAAAGTAAATAAGAGTCTGCAGCTGCCAGAAGCTACCACGGGCAGACACAAATAACTACCAAAAAAGGCAGCGAGTGCATGCAGCGTGGAGTGCCGCAGACAGTGCGGGTGGTGGTGCTGAGGTGGGAGACTGCAGCCCCTTCTGCTGAGCTCTGGAGTCTAGGGCTGGTCCTTGAACAGTAGACATTACGGGAGAGAAACTGTGAAGTAGGAGGGATATTCGAAGGGAAGACAATCCACTGAACATTTTCCGTCCTGAGCAAGACTTCCTGGTGTAGCGAGGTTGCTCTTGAGTGGCAACAGAACATAGGAGCTAGATGTTGCCCACATCCCAGCCACTCCGTACATACTGACTTATCTTTCATGAGGGGAAAGGAAAGAAAATTCCTGCTGT